TGGTGTGACGGGATTCAAACCCGCAACTCTCAGATTGCGAGTCGAGCGTCCTAACCACCTGGCCATGCCGGGCCCTAACCTGACAGATCAGATTGTTACAATATAGTTGAAGCAATAAATTGAACAACTGAAAATACTAAAAAACAAAAAATGAAAAAAACTTATACCACGAAAATGGCTAATGCGAAATAGATGGTTTAATATTCACAACGTTTCGTGGTACAAGTTTTTCCATTTTTTTTGTTTTCGATTTAATAGTACCGAGGCAAATTTTTATCTGATTTTTCAACTGAAAATAACACTTAACAATCGGCATATAGAAATATTAAAATATGGCATTAAAGTAAAATTATAAACTCTGGTAGCACGCGAATGCAGCTTAAATGAATCAAAGAAATATGTTACAGAAAATCTGCTATGAAAATTCGCATTAGAATTACATGTTATTAATAAATGTGACTTTTTTTGGTATTATGGATCTATTCTAACTACAGATTTAAAGTATATATATATATTTTAAGTGACGCAATGTTTTCCAAATAGGTATGGCCTATGGGCTATTGGCTGCCGTTCCACCCATCTATGGGCTATACACGTCGTTTTTCCCTGTGTTTATTTACTTTTTGATGGGCACTTCGCGACAAATCTCTGTTGGTAAGCTCAGTTTTTGTTGTTGTTGTTGTATTTTATAATTCTTACGATCGATATATGTCACCATTTAATTGTTTACTAGCACATATTTGAAATGTATACGTTTCTTTTGTTATTAATATTGTTGTTGTTTTCTTAGTGCAAAGTTATACAATTAGCTATCTGCACTTTGTCCACCGTGGGGAATCGAGCACCAAATGTTTGCGTTTTAAGACCGTGGACTTACCGCTGACCCACCGGTGGACTCATTAATATTGAACCTTAATCTAAGAAAGATATATTAGGCTAATGACTGTTTTCAGATTAACGTCAAAACGTTTCCATTACTATGTGTACCTTTAGGTATATAACTGATAAAAATGTTTATTTTTTAATTATTTGCTTAATTCATGTAAACATTACAGGGAGAAAGGATAATATATTTTGTCAATTTACAGGAAAAAAACAAACAAACTTTTATTTACTAAATAGTATAACGAATTCTCAGTTACTCTGCAGTAATAAAAAATCCAACATGTTTTAGTAGGCGCACAGTAATTCTTAGATGTTTTTACATATAAGAGATCTCAAGACTTTATATGTCTTTCTTAGGAACATTTGCAATTGTCTCACTAATGACTGGTGGGGCAGTTGAGAGGTTCATTTCATCATCAAATGCTCAGTCCCCTTCATTTCTGAACGGAACCGAAACCATAGGCGATTATTTAAATACAACTACTACGACGCCCCCCACAGGTGGGAACGTTAACAACAATGTTCAACCTATAACAGTTGCGACAGCACTTTGTTTGATTGTGGGAATTTATCAGGTAAGTATATAACACCACGCATTTCAGTTCCCTGAAAGTCCTAATTCCTAATTCGTATGTAGAAAAGGTGCATTAATATTCATCGATTAATTTTTCAAAGTTTTTTAAAAATGATAAATGCATATTTGTACATCTTCGCGTACAAAACAACCCTCTACTTCAGTGTCTTCCAAACTGTGTGGCGCGCCGCCCTAAGGGGGCGCAGCCTTTTGGCCGAAAACCCAAAAATAACGACGAAAGAAACAGAAGAGTTGGAGACGACGATAACCTAACAAAACTATCACTTTGCTCTCAAAGATTTATTTATTTTTTGCTCACGCATTTACTCTCTCCTTACAAGCATTTTTTTCATTTTAAAAGACTATTAAGAACCGGTAAAGAAAATGTTCATTTTGCTGTTATCACTTACGAAAATTAGTTTAATATGAAGAGGGAGGACGCAATGGAAACATTACTAAGTTAGGGGATGCTGTTTACAGTTTGGAAAACACTGTTCTACTTCATTAACTTGTTAAAGCATTCGTATATAAACAACTTCACTAACTCCCAAAACTATAAAATGCCCACCATTACTAACAGCTGACTGCTTTTCATCATTTCATACAAATAAATAATTAAAAATAATCTTAGCCATCACTTTCAGCATTGCAATATCTAAATTAAACGTTAATTCCTTTCATCTGTCTTTTGCAATTTCATGAAAGTTAAATCTTTCTAATGTGAACAAAATTTATGACCTGTTTATTACTATGGCACAAAATTTTCGCATGTATCCCCCCTCCCCCGGAGGCTTGGCGATAAGTCTGAAGGTTTATCACACTAAAAATCCATGGCTGGCAGTGGGCACAACACAGATACCCCATTGTGGAACTCTGTGCTTATCAGCAAACAAAAAAGCTAAAAAGATTTTTAAATTTAAATTCAGATTTGACAACCAACCATATCATGTCACAAGCTGAAATCAATTAAAATTATACACACGTATATATATACATATTTTTTATGCTGAAGAGTTGTTTAGCTTTCATACACAAAATTTGATAATGTTTATGTGCATTACAAAACGGCAGATGTAATACTCAATACACAAATCAGCAAAGTCAACACACGTAAAAATTCAGGCTTTTCTAATACAGGAAATTAGCTAGGCCTGTTAATACAGGTCTTAGACATTTACGGTTTGAAATTGAACAAACTAATGGACAAAATATTACAAATCTACTATGTGGAGTGTCATACTGATTTAATCCAAATAATACGAATGTCACATAACTGAAAATTTTAAAACCTAAACTTCTTTATATAATCGACTTAACAAAATACTGAATTAGTTAGCTCAGATTCATTGTTTTAATACATGAATTAAAAACATAAATTTTAATATTAAGCTTTACATTTATCTAAAAATTATTTTGAATTTTAAATGAATAAACTAAAATTAAGTATTACTGTTTCAGGCCCCCAGTGGCCACTGGCAAGTCTGAAGGGCTCATTACACTTCTATACCCGTGGTGGGCACAGCACAGATAGACTATTGTGTAGCTTTGTGCTTAATAACAGAACAAACAAACAGTTTCAGCCATAGCATTTTATAAAAGTTTATTATAAACTGTCTGGAGTGTTCACAAAATACAGTATACACGAAGGTTGAAACTTCAAGCATGTTTTTCCATGGGAATGCTTGGGGTTATTGGTCGCCTTGGGTATGGTTCATGACCTCGAGAGTGACCGAAATTATCAAAGTTTAACTCAACGTTGTTGTTGTCCAAACAATCTGCTTGACCACGCCGCGTGTTCTGTAAACTTAATCTAAGCTAATCGCAAGCGCAGAGGTTTGGTAAAGAACTTTAGCAAATTTTTGATTTGTTTACAGATATTTTTGTCAGATTCCTTAGGCCGTTAAAATTTCTTCTATCATCCGTGACCTTTCTATTTGTTTTCGAGACTTTCCGCTTCAGATTCTAGTGTCAACGCAATATATTGTTTAAAAGTGCGTGCGTTTTAGTGTCAACGCAATATATTGTTTAAAAGTGCGTGTGTTTGTCACAACCATTCTTCATCTTATCATTTCTACACATTAATACTCTACTTTCGATTTCGATTGCACGTGCGGGATACGTTAAAGTACTCTGCGTTAAAATGCGTGATTAGATAAAGTGGACGCTGTCATTGGCGCCAGTCGCGAAAGACAAGCAGTAAAGTGTTTGTTTGTCTGTTCAATTTCGTGCAAAGCTACTCGAAGGCTATTAATGTTAATTTGGAAGTGATAAACTAGAGGGAAAGCAGCTAATCAACACCACACCCCACCAACTCTTGGGATACTCTTTTACCAACAAAAAATGGGATTAGTAGTCATATTGTAACGTCCCCACATCCAAAAGGGGCGAGTATGTTCGGTGACGAGATCTGAACCTACGAACAGTAGTATAGTGAATTTTATGCGATAAATTAAATATGAATGTTAAATGATTCAATTTGTGACATTGATTGGTAATGGTGAGAATAACTTTTTTCAAATGTATTCAAAAACGTACATTTATGAAAAACAACTCGAAACTATTAATAAATGTAGAAAAAATTACATATAGAAGATGGTATATTCAAAGTTTCTTAAAGATACAAGCCATTGTCATTTTGTCTTTTAGCCTTGATTTCAAAAATAATGGGCAAAAACGTAAACAAATAATAAACGTCATTAAAACCTGGATGTCTTGTTCTAAACCTATCGAATATTAATTTTCGATTATTTCTGACATATAAGCATTGAAAAAAACATAAAATGTAAAGGAAAGCAAATACAGCGTCTATACTACAAGCATACAGGTATAGGAGTAATTAGACGAGTAAAAATAGAGAAAACTACAAACACACTGTACAAAAAAATGTGCGATAAAATAAGTCTTAATAGTAACTCTTAGCAACATAGAAGTTTGAATAAGAAAGGCGTCGGACAACCTTCCAAGTATGGCTTGTTGTCTATTTTTATTATTTAATTGAAAAAAAGAAACTCCAAGATTCTATGTGAAGGTTGGAAGATAATGAAGTTACTTTGCCCACCAAGGGTATCGAAACCTGGTTTCTAGCGTTGTAAGTCCGCAGACATACCGCTGTGCTATTTGGGGGCTTTGGCATATCTATGCCAAGATGATCAACATAAGACTATGCCAATAATTATTAAAAACTTCTGGTCGAATGTAAGCTAATTACATAGATCTAAACTAAAAGGAGTTAAAAGAACGGTATATACTAATGAAGTAATATGTTAAAAACAAACTGATTACAAATACCTAATTTTCAAGTCAATACACAAGACTCGAAACTAAAACCTACATTGTTGACATTATATTGAATCATCAGCTGCGTGTCCTCATTCATTGTTAACTATATTTTCGGCCGTAATCACAACAGAAATTAGCACAATATTGTTTCACGCAAAAAAATATTTGGAAGTAATGATAACAAATACCACGACTCTCAATGTTTGAAGATAAAATTACTAAACTAATTATGTTGTGTTCTGTTGACTGTTTTTACTTCAGTAAAACATTTTAGGCGTTATCCAAATGAAAATATTTGTTTGACCATGCAGAGAATTACCTTCCGCCCTCTAACTTTTTCTTAGAAGTTAATCCATACAAACTGTACACTTAGAAACAATTCTATAACAGTTTTCATTTCTTGTGAATGACTTTGAATTATTATACAATCGAATTTCATGTTTTTAGTACTCAGAAAATGGTACAAATTACGTTGACATTTATGTAGAGGACATACGCTTAACTTGTGAACAACTACAAAATGTAACAACATATTTGCGTTGTACAATGTTGGAAAAAGGAGCGTTGCCAATTTCAGTAGAGGGAACAATCTTTATTAGAGTTAGTAACCTGGATAATCTTGAGATTATTCAAGATTAACATGTACAAATCAGTCTATGTTTTGAGCATTTTCACTGATTATTTTCTATTTTATTTAATAATTATTCAAATAACGAAAATTACACATTAGTGCCCCCCCCTTTCCCATACCTAAATGGCGCCTCTAATTAAGAGTAGCAGCAAAATACTGTAGTGCTGAAACAAATGAACGTTAAGCCTAAAAGTTTGATAGATTACAAAAGTTTTTTGTCGCGATTGGTTTCCAACGCATCTTCAGCTTTCGGCATTCAAAAACCATAACCTAAAAATAAATATTATTTAACATTAATATCTCCAGTCATAAATGAAACCGGGTTATCATTAATTTGAACCATTAAGAACTTGAGGACGATTTTACCAATAGTTGTGATTTTTAATGTCACTATATGTGTTATAAATAGTACGTTTCAATCCAAAATACGAAACTTTGCTCGATAATAAAAAAATATAATTATCAAACAATAAATACATGACTGTTTAATATTTCAGCAAAAAAACAACAACATATAAGTAACCTTGTTTTTAGTGTGCGTGATGATATTTGTTGCCACAGGCTTATTTATTTTTTTCTTATTTTCAGGTTTTTTCTGGATTTCTCAGACTGGGGTTTATCAGTGTCTATTTATCTAGACAGTTGGTTAGTGGCTTCACGTGCGCTTCAGCATTCCATGTGCTAACCAGTCAAATCAAGTATATATTTGGAATTAAACTACCACGTCACACTGGTCCCTTGAACCTAATCTATGTAAGGTTTTTTATTAAAGTATACAAACAAATATATAGCACTTTTAACATTAATTGGTTGAGTTCTTTTTTGTTTGTTTGCTTAGTAAATTACAGTAATTTTTAAACATGCTCAGACCGTTTAAGATTGGACAACTTTTACACTCATTATATTTTGTATCATTATTTTATTTTTCAGACGTACATTTCTTTCTTTACAAATATCACTGAAACTAACTACAAGACTTTATTGATGTCAGCTGTAACCATCACCATTCTGGCCGTGGTGAAGGAACATATAAATCCACGAGTGAAGCAAAAATTTAAGATACCTCTTCCTATAGAACTAGTTGTGGTGAGATTAATCTGTCTTGTAATTAATTAACGGATCAGAAACATAAAGTTTTTGACTTTTATATTCAAATTACGCTTACCTGCGGTTCTTGAACAGAAAAGAAACTAACTTTTCTAAGAACTACGTTTCTTGATGACAGTATAAATAATAAATAGAGCTTTATTAATACATCAGTAGTTTATAAATATGCACAGTCAATTTTTGTTCGTTTATGTCATAATATCAACAAAACAACTAAAAACATTTTTGCTTAGTTGTTTATATTTTTGTTCCTAAAACTGTACTGTATTTTTAGGTCATTGTTGGAACGGTGACATCCTATTTCATCCGACTTCATGACAACCATGAAGTTGAGACCGTCGGTAACATCCCTCTCGGGTAAGAACATACTTTTTTCCCCACGTTTCCGTCCCTAGTTTTTCGAAAGTCAACTAATCTCCGTGACTACCATGAAATGTAGATTTCCGTAGACACCATTCTTAAATCCCCATTTTTGGTTATACCAAGAACAAAAGAACGAGAAAATTATTGTGCAAGTTCATGACTGAATTAATTGTCTTCTTTCAAGAACATGATAATATTACGTGCTGAGTATTAGTTGAATTATGACACAGTGTACTTTTTTGTAGCGTTAAACACGATTATCACTTTATTTGAAGCTAACAAACTTAGAAACATATATATAACTTTTACTAAACTATTTTTAAATAACGGTTGTGTTAGTTTTTGATTAATATTTTACAGTTTTAATTGAAAAAAAAAGAAGTTCAAAAAAGAAGTTTACTTAGTTGAATCTGTAGTAGGGCAGTGTTACCTTGAAATTCTGTAGTGACAAAACAGTTTTAATGAGTTATTGAAAACACCTTGCACGTTCTCTTGATAGATGTATTTCTCAGTAGCTTCAGCTTGTTTGTAAGTGATCATCTTATAGTCCTTCATTAACGTGTGGTCACAATTTTTCATAAAGCCTTATAGTCGTGTCTGAACATTTAAGATATTTGAGAAATTTACACTATTTTCATGTCACATGGATTTTATGTAAAAGACGGTTAAAATTTTTGTCATATACTTACAGGCACGAGTGGTGAATAAAAAAATGTTGTCTCAAAATTCAGTAGTTGAATACGTTATATTAAAATGATTTTGGAGTCTCACCACGTCGTTACAACTCATGTCGCCACATATGGTCATTCTTCATCTTAAGATAATGCGTATTTTTCTTTGTAAAAGGCTCCGTCGTAAGACTGTCACCAAAGTTCATCACTCCTCCCTGGTGGCTTTCCATAATTAAACTAGTATTCAAAGACGACAGTCTCTCGTTACCCTCTTCAACATTCTGATCACACATATATCCATAAGAACTTAGTTGGGCTTCATATGGAATAGCATGAATACCCATTTCATTCTTTAGTTGCTTGAGTTATGTGATGGTTAAAAGGAAGCAGCTTGTATACGTGTTACTTGTATCGCTTTTACAGACATAGATCCTGTTTGATTAAGTTTCATAGCGTTAACTAGGACGTGTTGACTGCTTTTGCCACTGACTCTGTATTTGTAGATCATTACCTTTTACAAGATGTTACAATTTACTTACTACAGTTTGTAGTACAATGTTTTACAGGTCTCTTTCTGGAAGTTCCTGGTTTCCCAGGTTGATCCATATTCTTTTTGTTTTCCAGTGCCATTAAGTACAACGAATATTCCCGTCTTCGATATTCTAAATCTCCGATCTGAAGACATCTTTATGATCTGCGTATATGAATATTTTGTATCGAAGAGGGCTATTACATACCCTTCCAAAAAGTTATCTATTTTTGGGAGCATCACACTACCTAGGAAACGCCAAGCCATTTCAAAATGTAGCTTTATACATTCCGTTCTACAGCGACTTTATATAAACTGTGTTTGTCACGTGTCTTGCCGATTTACATATTCCAAATTGTATCAATATAACGTACTCAGCTCTCTATAGAGATGGACAGTAGTTCGTTCAAATCTTTAATGAGAAACGAGGTATCAAATAAAAACTAATTAATGGATTTAACTTACTAAAACAAATCGACTGAAAAGTTAATATTCCTTCCGTTTTAACGCATATATTTTTTCCAATCATTTAACAAAACAGACCTTATAAAGAATGTTAATGCATGGCCGGATTGTATTTATTGTTGTTATTATATAAAACTTCTTCTTAATAAAACTCTTCTCGCAGCTTTCCACACCCAAAGGTGCCGAACTTCACGCTTCTGCCACAACTACTAGGTACTGGGGTCGCCATCGCCATTGTCGGCTACACATCGTCTCTGTCTCTTGCTAAAATATATGCCACTAAGTATAACTACAATGTGGATGCTAACCAGGTGTGATTGCCATTTCCTCAGTCTGCCTTTTTGTGAAAACAAAATTAGCTTTAGATAAAAATATGTAAAAAAGGGAACGCTATTGTTTTTCCAAAGACAAATCTATACTATTTAAAAAAAGATGAATAGAAATAAAACATATTTATGTCTACTTTTGCCAAATTATACATGCTTTCTAGTAAGTTTAAGGAATGAAAAATAAATGTTATAAATTCCTAAAGAATGAAGTTATCACATTACTTATAATTAACGTCATCAGAACTTTTAAGTGACTGAACTAATTTTGTCCCTGACTGGAAAATAACTTCGCAGTGTTATTATTAAAATAACAGTTTCGGGATAATTTTGAGAAACTTATTTTAATAAAAAAAAAGTTAATATAAAATATAAGTGAGTAAAATTTCTTAGGCTATTATTTGTACATTTTTTAATTCATATTTTAATGAAATTATTTATTTATACATGAAGGAACTGGTTGCTTTAGGAACGGCAAACATTTTTAGTTCTTTCTTCTTGTGTGTTCCCGGAGCCGCTTCCCTTTCTCGTAGCTCTGTTCAAGAAGGTGCTGGAGGAAAGACTCAAGTACGTCACTTCCTCTCGCATTCAAACTAATACGTTAAGCGTGATGATATGTTACTCTTTTATTCTTTTCTTACATTTTTTTACTAATATTGAGATCATACATGAAATATTTTTTTTATATACACATCTACAATATTCTTATGTAAGGTAATGTTTTATAATTTAATTTTTATTAAACTTATAACGAATCTAATAGCTTTTAACTGCTTTTGGTATTAAATAGATAATGGCCCTCCAATGTCTCAGCGTGATGATATGTTACTCTTTTCTTACATTTCTTGACTGATATTGAGATCATACATGAAATATTTTTTTTATATACACATCTACAATATTCTTATGTTAGGCATTGTTTTATAATTGAATTTGTATTAAACTTATAACGAATTTAATAGCTTTTAACTGCTTTTGGTATTAAATAGTTAACGGCCCTCCAATGTCTCAGCAGCAAGCCTGAATACTTATTATGCTAAAAACTGGGTTTCGATACTCGTGACATCTAGGAGAAGTTAGTTTCGTTATAAATTATCAAACTCAATGCTATTGAAAAGAAAAAAAGCTGCTCGTAAATAAAGAAATAACAATATGAAGATACTAACTTTGGTCATACATGATTCACGTATTTAAGCCTTATTTCACATTTTTTTTTCATTACCTCAAACTAGCTTGTGAGTTTGATCAACTGCATCGTTCTCCTAGTGGTTCTACTTGCACTTGGTCCTCTACTTGAAGATTTACCAAACGTAAGTGGAAACATGTGACAGAGCTTTTGAAAGTTTTTCTTTTCTTAATGTTTGATATTGATTTAAAAGCATTAATTAAACTCTGTTTCCGCATATCTCATAATCTAAATGTTAAAATTTATGTTGTAGATTGGAAAAATATGTAATCACTTATAAAAACAACATTAATTTAAAGAAAAACAGAAGACTGGGTAAGAATTATCTAAAAGAAATGTTTGTTTGTTTTGAATTTTCGCGCAAAGCTACACGAGAGCTATCTA